GAATATAGGACCATGCTTGACGAATGCTTCTAGTATTGACGGGTACACCAATAATTAATAGTTATTAAAAGTTCAAGGAGTCAACAAACTAATCAATAGCCTTACTCAGTTCTAACTTTCTACAATTTCCTAAATGCCGTTCGGCATGACCCACCAGGCACTTGGGTTCTTTAAAAATCCAAGAATTGAAGGCATGATTTTCATAAACTTAAGGGGTACGGCGTCGGCAGTCCCACGAAGAAAATTGTTCAAAATGTGAGTGTCAGAAAGAAAAGCGACATTGTTTCCCGGTCCCCATTCTCTGACAGTCGCAAGCCTATAATGCGTGCAATTTGGCACTGTAAGTGGTTGATTATGTCGTGCTATGATTAACGCGTAAATATGGTCAGATGGCCTTATAATAAGGCGTACAGCGGTGAAGCAAGTGACAAAGTTGTGTTGGACTCGGCCCAAGAAGGTACCAGGCAACGCCCGATTGCCTGGTTCGTCCCGTGCCGATATGGAAAACGACGGGAAGAACTGGATTGGTCGACACTGATGACCACTCACACGGAAAAGATAAAGTATGCAACGGGTGATGGCTCTGCACAGAATCTGTCAGTTGCATGTTTCTCCGGTTCTGTGCCTGAACGGCACACACACTATTATTAACGAATTCAATTGTTAGTGCCAGCATCAAATTTTCGGAGCCGACCACATGGCCAAGAGTGGGTCTAGAACAAGGTGCCGCGACCATATTCTAAGCACATCATTGACTAGTACCTACGGGATTCACAATGACTAGTATAAATCCTTTCATAAAAGTCGGAAAGACGTCAAACTGTCATAATTTCCTTGACTTCGTCTTTGTTTGGTCGAAGAGCGACAGAGAATGTACACAGGTCAATCAATTTGTCACCATCTAGGAAAATTACTCCGCATTCTGAAATACATTTTACTGGTAGATCCAGACGTGAACTGTTGATTACTTAAGGAAAAGGAATTGAATGATAGTCGTGCGATCCGGGTACGGAAAGCGGATCAGGACCCAAAAATGATGTTTCTCCAGGAACCTGGACCAGTGTTTGGACACTTCGTTTCTCGGCAACAATGTTTTCCGGCAACGTTGGTGTGATTTCACAGTGGTGTTTTACCGAACTTCCCTGTTACATTGACATGATGCAGGCAGACCTGTCAAAGTACATCATCTGATCTCATGACGTGAAAGATTCCTCCTGATTCTGATTCAGAATAGCCGTTGATCTTGTCACTCTCAGGTATAAGGGGGTTTCTTGGCGAAGTAAAAATTCCATAAACAAGTGAGTAGAACTAGTTTTATTTAAATCTTATGTAGTACTGCCATCACCAATTACAGGTAATAATGTTACTATGGCTTGTTGAACTTGTCGGCCTATGTATCCTGTTGAGCCTAATCACTGTGTGTTAACATCTCAACTCGTTATTCGGTTCTATCGTTATGCGGAGACAGACGGATCCTTGGCTGTCAAAGGCCGTTTGTTCCTTACTCAGGTACTCTTCCTCGTGATGAGCTGCATGTCAAACGTCACATCGGAGTACACGGATGCAACATGGAAAAGAAAAGAATTCATGAAAAAGGGGTCCGAAACGGCATAGCTGTGCAGGATTTGGAACCTATAAAGAGCCCACCACCCCATCTTGTTTCTGCAGTTCAATAACACCCACTGAACTACTCAGCTACTTTTCTTCACTCACACTCACACTCAACATGTTCGCTAAATCCATCGTTGCCCTTGGATTCGTCAGTATCCTCGCTGTCGCCGCTCCCAACCCCCCAGTAGACCAGTGCAACACCGGTAAGCCCAATCCAATATCCAGGCTGTATTTAATCTCATAATTGACTGACAATATTTTAGGAACTGCCCAGTGCTGCACCACTGTTGGTGAGGCCTCCAGCAGCACTGTCATCGGTGCCCTTGGCCTCCTCGCCGGGCTCCTTAACGGAATCACAGGTATCGTTGGAATAGGATGCGTGCCGATCATGTCAGTCTTTTGGCAGTTATCCCCCTTTATTATTGTTATTTAACAAATAACTATTTCGGCAGTGGTACTATCAACTGTGCCCAACAACCCGTCTGCTGCACCGGCAACGAGTTTAACGGACTTGTGAGTTCTTTTATTAAATGGTTCTTTGTTAAGATCTTTATGTTACTATAATAATAGATCAACATTGGCTGCACCCCCATCTCTCTTTGAACGTTACGGTTTCTAATCCCTGCTATGTGAATCAAGCTATGGGCGGGCAATCAGTGCACCTGCTATGTAGTTGCTATTGTCTACATTAGCTTCACATTATTGATTATATGAATGATATTTCCACTAAATATGCGAGAATCACTGGAAGTATTGATCCAAGTGTGCAGCAAAGAACAAAAAGTTGAAAAAAAAAAAAATTGGACGTAAATATAGGACCATGCTTGACGAGTGGTTCTAGTAATGTCTGGTACACCAATAATTAATAGTTATCAAACATTCAAGGAGTCAACAGTTTAATCAATAGCCTTCCTCAATTCTAACTTCCTAAATGCTGTTCGGCATGACCCCACAAAAGGCCCAACTCGGGTGACCAAGTACTTGGGTTTTGTAAAAATCGAAGAATTAAAGGCATCATTTTCATAAACTTAAGGGGTACGGCATCGGCAGTACCACGAAGAAAATGGTTCAAAATGTGAGTGCCAGAAATAAAAGCGTTACTGTCTCCCCATCCCCATTCTCTGACAAGTCGCAAGCCTAATGCGCGCAATTTGGCACTGTAGTCGGTCGATTTTTGCGTGCCATGATTAACGCGTAAACATAGTCACATGCTCTTATAATAAGGCTTACAGCGGTGAAGCAAGGAACAAAGTTGTGGCCCATTCTGACTGAGCGGAGATGCTAACCGAGGCCAAAAATGGTCGTGGGAGCCATACAAAAATTCAGAACCTTTAAGTTTTTGGACTCGACCCGCAAGAAGGTACCAGGCAACGCCCGATTGCCGGGTTAGCCCTATCATCCCTTGCCGCTAAAGAAAACACCAATAAAACACCATACGGGAGGAACTGGATTGGTCGACACTGATGGCCACTCACACGGAGAAGAACGGCTGATGCTTCTCTGCACAGAATCTGTCAGTTGCACGTTTCTCCGGGTTCTGTGCCTGAACGGCACATCACTATTATTAACGAATTCAATTGTCAGTGCCAGCATCAAATTTTCGGAGCCGAACACATGGCCAAGTGTGGTCTAGAACAAGGTGCCGCGACCATATTCTAATCACATCATTGACTAGTACCCACACCCAGACAGGATTCACAATGGCTATTGTGAATCATTTCATAAACGTCGGAAAGACGTCAAGCTGTCATAATTTCCTAGATTTCGTCTTTGTTTAGTCGAAGGCCGACAGAGAATGTACACAGGTCAATCAATTCGTCGCCATCTAGGAGAATTACTTCGCATTCTGAAATACATTTTACTTGTAGAGCGAGGCATTAGCTGTTGATTACTTGGGGAACAAAATCGAATAATAGTCGTACGATCCGGTTACGGAAAGCAGATCAGGACACAAAAATGATGCTCTTCCGGGAACCTGGACCAGTTTTGCACACTTGCAACACATGTTTTCCGGCAACGTTAGTGTTATTTCACAGTGTTGTTTTGCCGGACTTACCTTGACATGATGCAGGCAGACCTGTCAAAGCACATTATCCGATCTCATGACCTGAAAGACTTCTCCTTATTCTGATTTTAGCGTAGCCGTTGATCTTGTCACTCTCATGTATAAGGGGGTTTCTTGGCGAAATCAAATCTCCCTAAACAAATGAGAAGAACTAGTTTCATAGTAAATATTATGTAGTTCTGCCATGGCCAATTACAGGTAATAATGCCGCTATGGCTTGTTGAACTTGTCGGCCTATATATCCTGTTGAGCCTAACCACTGTGCGTTAACATCTCAACTCGTTATTCGGTTCTATCGTTATGCGGAGACAGACGGATCCTTGGCTGTCAAAGGCCGTTTGTCCCTTATTCAGGTACTCTTCCTCGTGATGAGCTGCATGTTAAACGTTACGCCAGAGTGCACGGATGCAATATGGAAAAGAAACTAAATCATGAAAATCATGAAAAAGGGGTGAAAAACCGCATAGCTGTGCAGGATTTGGAACCTATAAAGAGCCTACATCTGCATCTCGTTTCTGCAGTTCAATTACATTCACCGAACTACTCAGCTACTTTCCTTCACTCACACTCACAGTCAACATGCTCGCTAAATCCATCGCCGCCCTTGGATTCTTCAGTATCCTCGCTGTCGCCGCCCCCAACCCCTGGAACGAGCCAAACCAGTGTGGCACCTGTAAGCCCAATTAAATAACTAGACTGTGTTTAATCTCATAATTGACTGACAATGTTTTAGCACCGGCCCTGTGCTGCACCGCTGTTGGTGCGGCCTCCGACAGCGCTGTCATCAGTGCCCTTGGCCTCCTCGCCGGGCTCCTTAACGGAATCACAGGTATCGTTGGAGTGGGATGTGTGCCGATCATGTCAGTCTTTTAGCAGTTATTCCCTTTATCATTATTATTTAACCAATAACTATTTCGACAGTGGTACTGTCAACTGTGCCCAACAACCCGTCTGCTGCACTGGCAACGAGTTTAACGGACTTGTGAGTTCTTTTATTACATGATTCTGTTTTAAGATTTTTATGTTACTATAATAATAGATCAACATTGGCTGCTCCCCTATCTCTCTTTGAACGTTATGGGCGGCCATTCAGTGTATCTGCTTGTAGTAGCTATTGTCTACATTAGCTGTGCATGATTGATTATATAAATAATATTTCCACTAAATATGCGAGAAGGGCAAAAGTATTGATCCAAGTGTGCAGAAAAGAACAAAAAGTTGAAAAAAAGGAAATTGGATATAAATATAGGACCATGCTTGACGAGTGGTTCTAGTAATGACTGGTTTATTAAACATTCAAGGCGTTAAAAGTGTAGAAAATGAATGGCCAGACTGGGAATTGAACAGGGCTTCTGCATATTTAGCAAGGGTGTTACCAACTACACCACCTGACCATGGGAAACAGTGTTAGCATTACACAACCCAACACAAGGAGTCCACAATTTAATCAATAGCCTTACTCAATTCTAACTTTCTACAATGTCCTAAAAGCCGGTCAGCATGATCCCACAAAAACTGAGCTCGGGTGACCAAGTACTTGGGTTCTTTAAAAATCCAATAATTGAAGGGTATCTGGGGAAAACCTGCAGATGTTCCAGATACAGGTAGGACTTGGATTCACCTTATGGACAGGGGGGATATGGGAAGCCTGGGGGCTCCAAGAATATGCTATGTCTCAGTTGGAGAGCCCACAGGTTCCAAGAATATGTCAATGTAAAGTTGATGGGGCAAGTAGGTATTAGTACTGGAAGATAGGTAGAATACTGAGTCAGTACTAACTCAATTTTCTGATTGGGTTGTAAGTACAAACAGATCCTAGACTATATAGAACTAATAGTTATTGTACTACTAATCTGGTGAGACAAAAAGACTAAACAGGTGAGGAAAGAATGATATAAGTCCAAATGGGTACAGAGTCTGTGGATAATGCAGCTAGATGGAGGATAGTGGGGCTGGTTTCCCAAGGTAAGCTGCATGAAAATCAAGTACAATTTCCATGGCATTCCTGAGTTCCATGGCCATCATCCAAGAAGTTTCTTCATTGGTGTCCTCATAACCTGCCCACTTAACTAAGTAAAGCAGTTTGCAAATGTGTCAATGGTTGTCAATTTTTGAATCTAAAATCTGTGAGATTTTAAACTTGGGTTCTCTGTCTATAATGACTGGAGGGGGTGGAGGTTGTACACAGTCTGGGATGGTGTTAGCAGTACAGGGCTCTAAAATTGAAACATGAAATACTGGGTGTACTGCACACATGCTATCTGGGAGCCAGTGGGTCCAAGCTACTGAGCCAGCTTGTGCTGTAATCTCCAAGGGTCCTAAGTACTTTTCAACAAATTTCTTGGAGGGTTGGGGTTTCCAGAAGAATTTGTTAGAATTGGTGATGAAAACACCCTTTTCCTAGGGGCAGTTCATCCATTTCTTCACTTTTTCATATGAAGATGCTAATTGTGGACCATGCATTCTGAGGTTAATGCATGCTAGAACCAGTGTACACCTAAACTAGCACCAAACCTATCATGTCAGAAGGTGATTCACTAACTGACACATTGATTGACAAACAAGTACTATTATTACAAGTCTATTCTCCCTTGTAGATCGTGTATTACAATAAGTCAACTCATACTATTTTTAATAGAATTGGGCTTTAGTTAAGACTGGGGAACCCACTGGAACCTGGTTCCTACTATGTCAACACCTACCTCCCTGTTTACAAGATGAGCCACCAACTGGACCCTGACCAGATACCCCAGACCCCTTAGATGCTTGAAGATCTCTTTCCCAATCTGTTCCTAAGTAGGTTTGACATCTGGTTTATTATGCTCCTGTGCTTGTTCCTGTTCTGTCCTGACCTTTGTTCTTAGTATGTTCAACCCTGCCTTGTTTCTTGTTCACCCTTTTTATCTTTTTATCTTGGCAGATTAGTAGTGTTCAGGGATAGGGAGGCTCACAGAGGGTTTCCAGAGAAACCTGCAGATAATCTGGTAGGACTTGGCTTCAGCTTATAGGCTGTGCCATCATGAGATTGTGTCCAGGTGGAGTCTGGTGACTGGTGCATGAGACAGTCAGATATAGACAGGTTTGATGTGTGTGGGTCCCAGCAGGCACTCTGGTTGTGACTGTACTTTGGGTACCATATAGAGGGTTGGGTGCATATACAGTGGGGTCCAGATGCCGGCAGTTTTTCCAGTTAACTGTAACCTGGTGGGTATAGAGAGTTGGGTGCATGTAGGATGGGGTCCAGAGCCTGGTGGGTTTTCCAGTCCTAACAAGTAGTATAATAATCTTTAGTGCTATATAGTTAAATAAATATGTGTACTTACAATCCAATCAGAAAATCAACTTAGCACCCATCTAGTATCTTATCTGCTTGTCCTAGTAAACTTTAAACCAGCATATTCCTGGAACCTGCAGGTCCTCCAACCAGAACATATGTTAAGTTCTGGATCTCAGGTGGAATTCCCAGTGGATATTCCAGACACTTCTCGGAACATGTTCATGGAGTTCCTGGGGATTAGTTCAGGGAGTATTGGAATATTACCAGAGTACAGATTGGACTTGGATTCAGCTTATGTGCTGCACCCTCATGCACTCACTTGGGTGTCCATATTTCAGAGGGCAGATATATCTGGAGTGTTTACAAACACTTGGAGTTCCTGGGGGCTCTGGATGTCTGGAGTATGGAGAGTTCTGGATATTGAGTGGACAGAAAGAACACAGGAGAAGGTTAACTAAGTCAAGATTAAAACTAAAGAGTAAGTACATGACTATGGAAGACTATATAGATGTTCCAATTATTGTACTACAAGTCTGGGAGTATAATAAGACTTATTTGGAACTGTTTCCAAACTAAGGATATAATAACAAGTAAGATACATGAGGAACAAGGATGGGGACAGATCAGGGAACAAAAGCAGGAACAATAAACAAATGAAAGAACATCTGTCAACCAGTCAGTTACCAAATGTGGAACAAAGGAAGCGAGTCGGAATATCCACAGACATCCAATACTATCAGGAAATGGATCCCAACACTATAATGACTAAGTGTTCATATTTCCGGAAAGCCATGGGTTCTGGGGAAGTCAGAACATTGGCATAGAGAGGTGACAAGGATGATCTGATGAAGGTTGGGCCACAGACCAAAGTATCTAGATCAAACACCAGGAGTCTGGCCAGAGTCTGGGTCAGGAAATGACCAAGGACACTTGGAGATACTAGCCAGGGAATGCTGGAGTCCAATGGGTTCAGGGTCATAACAGGAGGTGTCTAGTCGAGGGTAGAATACCAGAATGGGATGTGAAGGGTACTTGAGGGATGAGGGTCAGGTTCTGGTGGACTCTGGACCCTGATACTAGTCCAGAAGATATGTAGTTCAGAACTTGATATGATTTCCAGGAAATACTCTGTGGAGTCTCCAGGAACAGATCTTCACAACATACCTTGCTCTCAGAAACCACAGGTTCACTGTCCCTACCTCCTTGCATAATCCCAGACTCCATAGGCCCCCTGTATCCTCTTGTCTGATATTGGACTCAAAAATCATGCAAGGGTGCAGCACATAAGCTGAAGTGAAGTCCTACCTGTCCTGGAACATCTGCAGGTTTTGTTAGAATTACAGGCAGGGGATCGCAGGTATAAGCAAGAAGTTTGCCAACTCTGTTGCAAACACATGTAGATACAATCATGTAGCTGCTCTATTTAACTAAAAGGAACAATAGATTTTTGTGACACAATATAAAGGTGGAACAAAAGAACAATAAAACAAAGGGACAAGCTAACAACAATGGGGTGGCGTAACTGGTGTAGCACATTGTGCATGCTCACATAATCCATTATTCCAACAGGTTTACCCCATCCACCCACCTGTAAACCCCAAACTTAACATTGGGTGGATGTTATCACTTTTCCAGGGTTCTTGGTGGAGTTCATCAAGGTCCATCACAAACTCTTGAGCACAAGCTGAAGCAAGGTTGCTTTCTGGGTGTACCATGATGTTGGCATTGTAACCCTTATTGGCAAAAAAGGGTGACATGCCAGAGTGGTGCGTGGTCTGTTGTTGTACACAATTCTGCTAGTGGAAGAAGGGATTTCTAATTGTCCTGTTGGTAGTCACAATATACTGTATGTAGAGGTATTGTTCTAGTATATGATTGACATGCTTGGTTTGTCCATCACTTTCTGGATGATATCTAGATGTATAGTGTAATTTTACATTGAGGGCTGTTCTGACAGATTTAAAGAAATATGATACAAATTCAGAACCCTGATCAGAAGTTATGTGGGATGGGACACCATGCTTGGAAAATACATGAATGATAAACAGTTCCACTAGTTGCATGGTCCTAATGGTGTCATGTGCAGACATGAAAATACCTTGCTTGGAGAATCTCTCAATAACAACTAGGATTGCAGAATAACCTTCAGAGTCCAGTAGGTGTTTTGATAAATTCTATTGAAATTGAATTCCATAGGTATTCCAGTACTGTAAGTTGTTTGAGAAGGCTGTATGGTTTGTGACATTGTGATTTAGAGTATGAACAAGTGATGGATAATTTGCAATAGTGCTTGACAAAATATCAGAGTTCAGGCCAAGTATACTCTCTGTGAATCATTGCTAGAGTCTTGTTGAGCCCCAAACATCCCAAGATTATGTGGTCATTTTTGTCCTGGATGATTCTGAGATGGAAGCTGTTGGAGTCCAGTACATATATGCAATCATCAAGTCTAATGAAACCTTGCGGGTCTTGAGACCACTGAGGTTTGTCAGGGCCCATGGGCTTGCCAAGATGTGCCTTGGTTACAGGGTAAGTTGAGTGGAATTGTAGATAGAATGTCTTGCTGTAGTTTCTCAATGTCCATAATGATAATACCATGTATGAATGGATGGATAAGGTAAGTAGCACAGACTGATGTGAAAAGTTGCATAGTCATGAAATAACATAGGTTTCAGATTATGTGGATTTACCATGGCATAGTCACTACTCCCCTTTTTTGGGTAGGCATTCCATTTTCTAGTCAAAGCATCAGGTTTTCCACCAAGGTGGCTGGGTTAAAAATGGATAATCATATTAAAGGCAGATAGGTACTTGGACCAATGGACTTGCTGGCAGGTCAAAATCTTCATGGTGGAAAATATTCCAAGTTCTTGTGATCTGTGACAATATCAACCAGTGTTCCTGTTGATCTAAGCAAGGGGGCAAAAGGGGATGATTTTGGAGGTCCGAAAATGGTAAATTGTACAAATAAGGAGGTCCTAAAATGGTGAATTGTACTAATTGGGAGGTCTGATTCTATAAGGCAAAGTGGAGCTTGGCTTCAATGTATGTGTTGCACCCTCACATGAACTGTTAGGATGCTCCAGTATTTCCAACAGAGCAGATAGTATGATAAAA